TTACTGTTTAACAAAAATAGGAAGTCAAGAAACATATAAAAATAGCTGCCAAACATATTGCTTTAATAGAATTAAGTTTACTGATTCATTTACTTTGTCCATCCCTGAAACACAAGAATGCTTACGGTGCTCATACGCTAGCATTCAAATCACTGAGCGGATATGAATGGCGGAGTGTGCTGACAGAGGCTGTCTATTGTAAGAAGGCGTATGTGAGCATAACCATTTGCAGCTGTATATACACAATAATCGAAATAGCTGTGCTGAGTCAAGGATGAATAGAAGAACCCAATGAAAAATGAGCTCAGTCAGATGGGGTAAGATCAACGGTCAGAAGAACTAGAGAGAAACCGGAAATCTTGTCATTTTCCTAACACCTTTTACAAAACTGTTCAGTCGTTGTGGCTTTTGCTTAGTAGAAAAAAAAAAACTGACAACAACTCAGAACATCAAATAGCTCTTTAACGACTTGAAGGGGCTTGGGAGATGGACAGTGAGTTTGGATGAGTCAAATCGATCTGTAGGTACTTGGCTAAGCAGGGGGAGGGTACAGTGCAGAGGAGCAAGGAGAACTTGAATCCCCTTCAAATAAGCATCTGCCATGGTGTAATCACCTGTTCAACATACTTTCTAAATATATTATTCTGAGTGCCTAAGATTGTGCTCTCCAGCCTGGAAGTTTAATACTGAAAAGGATAAACAGTACGTCTGTTCTAGCAGAAGTCACACTAATTTCTGGCCTTTCACAACTGTGACATGTGCTATAGTGGACTTGAGAGTTGCAACTCAGGGCTGAGGAGGAGATGATCATTGTAGGCCTCACAAGTACAATTATTTTACAAGACTGGCAGTAGAAACATTGAAGACATAGCCATCACAATCAAATAAACATGGACAAGACAGTAGAAAGGACTGGACAATTAATATCAACTTTATTCAGATAGAGAAAGAAATGAAAGATGTTCCAGTGGATGGTTGAAAGTGAATGAATTAGTGACTAGATGAAGAAATTATATTCCTCTGTCACTAAATAGAAATTCTATACTGATAGGTTTCTAGTTACTAATGAGAATATGATGAGATTATGGATAAATATTCTTGTGAAAAGCTCATGAGAAGCTACTATTGTGATATACACATGGCCTGTTGCTCATTGTGTTCTGAATTCCTGGTTTTCAAATGCAGTTTTAGAAGAAATGACCTTATCAGGTTCTGTCTTTCCTCTTTACCCATCCAAAGAATGATGAAGGGTTTGTAATATACTTTCCCAGTTTCAGAAACAGACAGACTTTGGCCACAGTCATCATAATCATCTTTCAAAGTTTTATATAAGTTTGATAATTCAGCGTTACTTGTTAATGAATGGAACTTGTTCTAGATAAAGAAATATATTTAAAGTTTGCCAGTATATTTACAAGAGTCTTAGAAATCTGCTAATAGGTATCAAATCTAACTAATATTCTTGATTGTCATTGGACACATTAGTGTCAATATCTAAGAGAAAACAGAATAGTAGAATTGTCCCTACAGCTAGTATATGAAAGAGGCATTTATACAAAAAAAGGCTTTCTCTTTGAAATTTTATTTAATTTACTACTATTGGGAGGGAGAGACTGCCATGATGCTCACAGTGAGGTCTGGACAATTTTACGGACTTGGTTGTCTTCTTCCACCTTCACGTGATACCAGGGATCAAACTCAGGTCAACAAGCTCGTGAAGTATGCACCCTTACACACCAGCGATTGCACTGGCCCCAAGGTTTCAGGTGTCCATATTTGCATTGAACAATTATATTTACAGTTTATATTACCTTACTTCAAAATATTTGCTGTAACAATGCAGCCCATCTAGATTACATAGATTACCTGCCGTTAAAAAGGATCCTTATGGCTTATCATTATATATAGCACACCAATAATTTGTTTTCCTTTATTTATAAAAGAAGAAAATCCAGACTCTACAGGAAAAATAGCAATGAACTATATGTCTTCTTGTATGTAACAAACTGTTTACTTTCACTTTTTTAAAAATAAGGAATATAGCAATGTTACAACAGATAAATTAACAAAGATCTAAACAAGTAAGTTTTGGAGGAAGCTGTATTGGGCTTCTTGGACACCCCAGAAGATCTTATTCATTTTTTTTTCAATGTGACAACCATTGCTAAGTACAAGGTAGGAGAGAATAACTGGTTTGCTTGATGAATTTTCTTATAGCCCTATGATGATTGAATCTATATAGCTAGCAACTAATTAGTTCACTGGCTGTCCTTGTTTAAGGCAGGAGCTCTACACTGGTCACTGTTATATAACCTAAAGGTGACTCGCAGATCATTTTATAGCTGAAAGATGAAACCGATAATGAAATGTGTTCTGTAGACTCATTTTTGTTGCTTGTATATAACTGACATAATTGGATTACTTTAATAATCCTGTCCCATTCCTTGCAGTTAAAACAAAATGACAACTTGCTTAGCAGAAACTACACACACACACACACACACACACACACACACACACACACACATACAGAGAGAGAGAGAGAGAGAGAGAGAGAGAGAAAGAGAGAGAGAGAGAGAGGGTCAGCTTGTTGATATATCTTGAAAAGCATTCTCTCTGAGGAGAGAATTTTCTAGAATATCATCCATACAGTCATAAGCCTACTGGATGCATGTCATGCTGTATTGATGACAAATGCCACAGCTTGCCTGAGAGTAATATTTCCAGTGCTTCATTACAAAACTATCACAGCAGATTAAGGGAGAAAAAAACTGAAATGAAGAATAACAGAATCAAACATCTATCGATATACTAATTGCACATATTAATATTTCATGGCATTGTTTCAAAATTCATTTTGCCTTTAAAAACAGATGATTGCTTAGGAGAAGAAAGTTAAACAGCGATCATTATTTCTGCTGAGAGTCACATGTTCACTTTATATTTAGAAAATTTTTAATAGATTTTAGAGTTTTCTAAATTGATGCAGGAACTAACTAACAGGAAATACAGATCTGAAGAGAGAAGTCTCATCAGTAAGAGCCAAAAAGTTCAATTGCAATGTTTGGCAGTAGTTTTACTGCTAAGGTTAAATATGGCAACTCTTATTTTATCTATATGGTGGTAATCATTGACAGAAATATCATACTCATAAAAAAATTCTGTACAAATATCTGTGTACGAAGATTGTATGTCCATGAGAGACTGTCACAAATGTGGAGGTAACATGTAAGCTCACACATGGAGGATTATCTGGGTCTCATTGTTGATGTGGCAGGGGTAAAATAGGCAGTAGGAAAATGTGTGGGAAGGGGGACTGATGGCAAGACAAAGCTCAGAAAATTCTAATAGTTGGGTTAAAATGGTTTGTGCAAGGGCAGAGTCAATAGAGAAAAGGTAGGTAGGTATTTGGTCATGGGGTCATTAATCTGAGTATGTTACTTGTTGGTAGTGTTTAATAAACGTGTTGAATTTTTATGAGATAGGTGCATTGCAACCAGAAATGTATACAGATAATATTGGTGGAGCAATTAAAATTAAGAGTTTGAAACAGTGGTGTCCATACTTTCATTTGAATGCGTTTTCAGGAACTTATATTAAGCTGACATAAAACTAGCTAGGACAGGAAGTATTATATTAGGGAAATGATTATTTGCTGTTGTAATCAGCTAATAATTCACATTATTAATCTTGAGATGTGAACAGCTAGCTAAGAATTCTAGTTACACAGAGAAATACAAAAGTCATCAGAACTTTTCCTACAGACAATGCTGTCCAAATGTAGATTGATCTGGTGAAAACTATCAGGAGAGGTCATCCTCGGGCCTTTTCATTTATAGTGCCCACACAAACCCATGGGTCTGACCTTAGTATTTTGAAGATTTTATAGTTCTTTCTGAGGAGTGTTTTTTTTTTGTTTGTTTGTTTCTTTTTTTGTTTTTTTAAATCCACCTCTTTGCACTGGGTCTTTCTGAGTATTGCACCTGAGTATAGTATAGTGCTTGGAATTCCACAGGGTACTAACAATGCTTGCCAGAGCAGCAGTAACTCCCTTGTAAATTGATGTTTAATAATTAGTGAACTGTTCACTCATATGAATTCTTAAAAATGTTAACTTTGCCTCTAAGTTTCTTTAATACATCTTCATATCAGAAACCAGTATAAAAAGATTAAATCATAAGGGTGAGCCCGAGTCTAATATGACCGGTTTCTTTGTAAGGAAAGGAAAGCATTCAAATAGAAATCCATGAGCAGACATCAATTTAGTTAGCAGCATCGAATCAGAGAAGGCCTGTTGTAGCTCAGGATCGAGTCAGAGAAGGCCTGTCGTAGATAAAGAAGGCCTGGTTCTACTGAAAATGAGAAAAGCAAGGCACTTCTTTTCCTGAAGTCAGCGGAGTGTATGAGGTCCAGCCAGCACTGTTCCTGTCGCTGGAAAACTTTGAAGGAATACTTTCTGTTCATTTAATTTGGAGTTTTATAATATGGTATCCCCTTATCTTCAGTTTTATTTTTATAATCTTGAGCGCATGTGGTGAAACAAAATCTGAAATCACCAGTGTTTATATAGACTCTTTCAAAAGGGACCACCTTCATAGATCTTCTGTGGCAGCAAAATGGTGCAATTGTTCTATTCTATAATTAAGTTTTTACCAGATCTTATGCTGTATAATTTATCCATTAAACTTTATCCTGGTCTCACCAGCTAAGACATAAGACACCCTTTCCCTGGAAATGCATGGGCTATGGTGGTCATATTATTAGGTCGATGATTTTCACTCTCTTTCTATCCTTCAGTTCCAATCCCCAGTCTTATCCCCAGTATGATAGCAGATTGCCTGCTGCAACCTCCCCTTCCCCTCTGCACCCACACCCAAAAGACTAAGCACATCCTCTCCTATAGTCTTTCTTCCTCGCTCTATCCTTAAGTTTCAGCCTCCAATACCCTAAGCACTCTCTTTTGGAAATCTGCCGGGCACAGTGTCCAGGGGATCAATTACATGGTCTTCACTCTCTTTCCGGTCCTCCAATTCCAATCTCCCAGTCTCGTCCCCATCTTTGCCACAGACCGCTTGAAACAGCCTGTCTTCTCTCTCTTCCTCCATTCCCCATGGACTCCATAGATCTTCACAGCAGACCCAGCTTTTTTCTCTTCTGTGGACCCTCTCAGCATCCCCCTCTCTCCTAGTCCATTCTCATTCTTGCATGGCCACTCCAAATACCTTGAAACGAAGCCTGTCTTGAAACCTTAGTGACCACAACTGGCAGGGACTCAGAATCACTCCCAACCAGGCAACCCACAGCCAGAACCTCAGATCCAGAGAGAGCAACAGAAACCAAAGAAACCAGAAGCCCACCCAACAAAAACAAAGCCATATTTCAACACCTAATAACCCAGATACCTAGACGTCTGAAACAATCCAATTACAATCAGGACACTATGTCTCCACTACAACCTAGTAACTCCACTACAGTAGACCCTGAGAGGGCACACAGAAGATAAGGACTTCCAAATAGCTATTGTGAATGTGCTCATGCACCTTAAGGAAGATATGAATAAATCCATAATGAAATCTATGAAATAACAAATAAACCGTGGAATGAATTCAGGAAAACTGTTCAAGACATGAAATAGAAATTGAATCACTCAAAAAAAAACCCTAAACTGATATAAACTGGAAATGAAAAGTTTAGGAACTCCAACAGGCAATGTTCACCAGCAGAATACAAGAGATAGAAGAAAGACGCTCAGGAATTGAAGGCAAAACAGAAAAAAAGTGATCACCTTGGTAAAAGAAAATGTTACATCTAAAAACATCAAGAGACAAAATATGCAGGAAATCTGGGAATGAAAAAAGTTTAAGAATAATAGGAATAGAAGAAGGAGAAGAAATCCAGGTCAAAGACATAAAAGATATGTTTACCAAAAATCACAAGAAATTCCCTTAGCCTAAAGAAAGAGGTATCAAGGTAAAAATAGACCTGACAATAAAAGACTCTTCCCATGATAATAAAACCGAAGAAGTAAGTGTGCAGAACAAAGAAAGAATATTAAAAACTGCAAGGATAAAATACTAAGCAGCATATAAAGATAGAGCTATTAGAAAAGCACCTGAATATGAAATCTACACATCTCACTGAACTCAGAAGTCTCATTGATGCCCACCTAAAGTCTTTACCCCTACATGAACTAGTTCATGGTTCTGAAAGGTTTTCTCTGAATGCTACCAAAGGAGAAAGTTAAATACTAAAACTAGCTACAGACCCATTTTAACTATAACGGAGACCTGCATGCAGGAGGAGCTAGTGATCATGCTTTGGGACCAATGAGTATCTAATTGGATTTAAGCCCAGTCCATGAGACAGAACCCATTCTCTACACTGCTTAGGTGGCCTAGAATCTGAGACTAAATCGGTCAGGGATTTAGGAGAAAACCAAATACTACTATTCTTCAAAAGGAACATAGCAATAAAATGAGTCCTAACAACATTCTGCTATACTAAGAGATCAGTGTCTTGCTCAGCTATCATGACAGAAACTTCCTTGTAGCAGTGGACGGGAATAAATCGAGAGACCCACAGATGAACCATGTGCAGAGTTCTGAGACCTTGGAACACTGGACATAAACTGGATGTCTCCATCAATTCCCCTCTGTTAGTCCTTAGAGAACCCCGCAGAAGAAAAGATAAAAAATAGTATGAGATAATCAGAGGGGATGGAGGACACCACGGAAACAACGCCTTCTCAATAGAGCAGGATGGATGCAAATATGAGTTCACAGAGACAGGCAACATGGACAAGGCTTGCATAGGTCTGGACCTGACTAGGGAGGGGGAGTCTCAGTGCTGAGAGTGGAAGTGGACACAAGCTGCCATACCTAAGCCAGAAGCTACCTCAAACTGATAATTGTCTGCAGAGGAAAAGCTTGGTTTTCTCTAACAGAGTCTCACTGACCATGTAAATCACTCTTAAAAAGGTAGGACCCATGCATGGCTGTAGATGCCCAACACAAAATGAACTCAATGGCATTTTGGGAGGTTCTTTGTCCCATAATGCCGTGTTGGGTGCTAATTTTTTTTGTTTAATTAACCATATAGGTTTTGTGAACATGCATGCACACACACACACACATTTCCAGTTTTCTGCTTTTCTGAGATTTCTGTGAGTGACAATACATGTTCTAAAAGACCAGGAGAGCTAATCTAGACTAATATACCCAGAGAAATGGGTCCACTATAGTTAAGGGAGAAACAAAAATTTCCATGATATAAAGAAAACAAGAACATTGATATATAAAGAAACCAAACGTTGTAAAAGACATAATACATTATTTGAGACTGGGCAGAGGGATTCTTATAGTGGAGAGGCCCTGAATTGAAATACAAAGCTATAATAACAGCAAAGCTATAATATACAACCGAGAACACAAACAAGAACACTAAAAATCAACAAGACAATGCCTTCAAACAACACAACCCTTCAATAGTAACTTTAAATATTAGCAGTCTCAGTTCTCTAATCAAAAGTCACAAGATAGCTGAACCAAACACAAAACAAAAGAAGCACAACTTTATACTAGGTTTAGTGATGCATGCCTTTAATCCCAGCACTGAGGAGGCAGACACAGGGGCACCTCTGAGTTCAAGGCCAATTTGGTCTACCTAGTGAGTTCCAGGAGATTCAGAGCCATATAGTAAGACTCTGTCTTGAAAAACAAACAAACAAATAAATAAATAAGTAAATAAATAAATAAATGGAAAGAATCACAGTTTTAGAGATATCACTGCCTTATAATAAAAGGACTGACAAAAGTGCTCAAATCAAATGGAACTGAGAAGTAAACAGTTTCAGTTACCATAATGCTAACAGAATGCACATTGATAGGCTTTCAACTAAAACTAATCAGAACAGGTAAAGGACACTTTATTCTAATCAAGTGAACAACCAATCAAGAACACATTACTATTCTAAATAAATTCTCAGCAAACTCTTAAACACCCAATTTCATAAAATATGTCCTACTCTACTTAAATACATAGATTGACACAAGCAATTAATAGGTTATTTCAATACCCTGCTTTCTCAGATAAAAAAGTGAACTGTACAAAAATAAATGCCAAAATTAAGCGATATCATACATCAGATGGACCTAACAGGTATCTACAGAAGATTCTACACAAACACCAAAGAAAATATATTCTACTCAACAGTACATGGTAGATTCTCTATACTAGACCACATCATGGGATGCAAAACACATATTTAAAAATTTGGAGAGTCTGAAATTATTCTATGCAAATAAAATTTAAAATTGGCAACAAAGACATCTCTAATCAACACAAAAACAGATCAAACAACTCATCACTGAATAATTACTGGGATCAAAGAAGAAAAAAGAGAGAATTCCAAAATTCCCTGAAACTAAATGAAAAAGAAACTACAAACCAATGAATAATGTAGCAGATGTAAGTAGGTTTCTACTTTTCTGGTGAGGTAAATTTGCAAAGCTTTTTTGGAAGATAGTTTACATTATTCAGAAAAGTCTAAAAATCCTCATTCTAGTTCATGAAATAATTAATTGCACTTTTTTTGATTTTTTGAGATGGGTTTTGCTGTAGCTATCGAAGTGGTCCTGGAACTCACTCTGTAGATCAGGCTGGTTTTGAACTAGCAGAGATCCACCTGCCTCTGCCTCCTGAGTGCTGGGATTAAAAGGGTACACCACTATGGCCTGGCTTAATAGCATTTCTAAAGTGTTATCCTTATAAAAATTTTTACGCCATCACCTGTAGCAGATATGTGCATAACGTGATTGACTATTTATACCGTGGCAGCATGCAAACAGGGAAAAATCTCTAAAATATGAAGACAACTGTGCAGATATACTTTGTTATAATTACTTAAACTCCTGTTTTCTTTTTTTTTTTGAAGATTTATTTATTTATTATGTACACAGTGTTCAGCCTCTATGTATGCCTGCAGGCCAGAAGAGGGCACCAGATCTCATTACAGATGATTGTGAGCCACCATGTGGTTGTTGGGATTTGAACTCAGGACCTCTGAAAGAGCAGTCAGTGCTCTTAACCTCCGAGCCATCTCTCCAGCCCTAAACTCTTATTTTCTAGTATTTTTAAATGATGATATATTTTTATAATGCCCTTTTAAATGATTTGTTAAAAATATCTATATAATTGTTCCTGAGTTATTATTTCAATATACTGATGTATAGCAAACATGGGGAAAATTAAAGTGATATTCTAAATAATTATAAGACAGAAACTTCACAGATGGTTTCCCTCTTAAGTTCAATCTGTATGTATATTTTGAAAACAACTTAAGTAAGCCATTATAAATTGAATCAATGTCTTCTAAATAAGATAACTACAATGTATGTAGCCCAATGTTAACAAATTCTAAATTGCTGTTTATCAGAGACTTGTTTACTCTTCTAGAACCTGATGGATTTGGAAAGATGAACTTTATGACTAGAGAATAAACAATTGTGCACTTTATGTTTTTTGACCAATGCTGGCTAGCACAATACCAGAATATGATTGTCAACCAATGTTTATTGTAATGAAGTGGAAATGAAAATTATTGAAAGCATATAAAGATACTTGCATATGAATAAACATACAATTTGAAAATAAAAAAATATAAGATACTGTCTTAAGTTATTCAAGAAATATATACAAATTTCAACCACTTAAATAGAAAGAAAAACAACACAAGCAAAATCCTTCTGCAGTTGTCAAAGAAAGTATAGATCTATGGACTGCCCAGAAGTCTTTTCTTTTTGTTTTAGGTTTTTTCAAGACAGGGTTTATCTGTGTAGACCTATCTGACCTTGAACTCACAGAAATCTGCCTGCTTCTACCTCCCAAGTGCTGGTATTAAAATCATGCACCACCACTGCCCAGCTACGCTAAAAAGTCTTAAAGAGTAATTATGCTTATCTCTAAGCCTGATAACCTGAGTTCTGTCCCAGATGCCCACATAATGGAAGAAGATAACTAAATGGCTCAAGTTTGTTGTGGAAAATCCTTCTGTATATGTGCTGCCTTTATTGGTTAATGAATAAAGCTGCTTTCGGTCAATGGCTTA